TCCCAGGTTCCAAAAATACCCCCCCTTGAGCACAGTAGTTCTTCCAAAAAGAGAGAGAGAGAATCTAAACCTAATTGTGTCTGCATGGTTTCTATCCACATCGATCGTAGCCAAGTTCCAATATGCACACTCAGAAGGGTCTCTTGAGCGCCTTGAAATCCAGCGTGTCGATGCACTCGGCGCCGTCCCTGGATCCATTGAGGATCCTGAGCAGCTCGCTGGCCCGCTCCTTGGTGGCGCCCTCGCAGCCCACCTGCAGCAGCAGGAGCAGCTTCTGGAACGCGCCGACCTGCAGCGCCTCGGCCTTGCACCCGCCGCCCTCCGCCGGGGAGTTCTTGCACAGCCGCCACAGCGCCGACACGGCGAACTCCGTCGCCATGTCCGACACGTGCTGCATCTTCTTCACGATCACCGGCACGGCCAGCGCCTGCGCGTACGCCTCGTCGCGGCCCTTGCTTGTGAGGAGCAGGCCGTCCAGCAGGGCCAGCGCCTTCTCCGTCGCGCCCTTGTCGGCGTCCACCAGCAGCTCGAGGAGGAGCCGCACCGCGCCGAGGTCGACGAGGCAGGACGCGGCGAGCTCGGTGTGCGTGACGAGGTAGTACGCGGTCACCAGCGCCGCCTTGGTGGCCTGGGGCGAGACGGGTTTCTCCAGGAGCTTGACGAGCGCCGCGTATATGCCGGTGGTCTTTGACATCGCCTCGAGGCACTGCCGGTCGGATGAGGAGGCGATCTCGCGGAGAACGACGACGGCGCTGACCCGCGCTAGGGGCTCGCTGTGGGAGAGGATAGACACGACGGATCCCAGCGACGCCGGGGAGGCAATGTGGCGCCTGGACTCCTCGTCAAGAGGCAAGAACACGACCATCGCCGCCAGGATCTCCTCTAGGGCCGTCGCTGGCACCACCCGCTGGCCGGCAAGATGGCAATACGTCGACGAGAGCGCGCGGGCGGCGCTGGCGGACACGAAGCACCGGCGGTTGCGCTCGCTCTCCTTCCCGAGCGCCCTGGCCCTCGCGACCAGCTCCCGGCACCTCGGCCCGTCGCCGCGCCTCGCGGCCGCGCACACCGCCTCCAGAAGCTCGGACGCGTCGAAAGCGGAGACCGGGACGCGGGGCGTGGGCACGCGCTCTATCCCGAGCCCCCGGTTGGCGACGCACCACTCCTGGATCACCCTCCTCGTGGCGTGGTTAGGGACGAGCTCCTCCAGCCGCAGCGGCCGGCCGGTGACGGGGCACGTGGCGTGGCCGCGCTCCAGCCACCCCTCCACGCTCTCCCGGTCGTACGTGATCCCCGTCGGCGCCGTCACGGGGTCCCGCATCATATCAAGAGATATCGGGCACAAGAAGTGGGTCGGCACGGCAGGCTCCGGCTCGGCGGCGGCGGCGACCAGCATCGGCTGCTGCCACGTCCGCCTGACGGCGAGCGGTACCTCGGCCGGCGCGCCACGCGCCGCGCCGCGGAAGCCCCGGGCGCGGAAGCGGGGCAGCGGCGTGACCATCGACGGTAGAAGAAAGCGGCGATCGCGCTGGCGTGATACCAGGCGCGGGGCCGGAGCCGATCGACGACGAGAACGGCGGCTGACGACCGATGACCGCCTTTTGGGTGGGCGGCGAGGTGAAAATGGCGTGCTATATAGGTTGTGGACGGCAATGTTGAACGAACGTGTGCGTGCGTGCGTGCGATTGTTTGAACGGCGAGAGGGAGGGAGGGAAAAAGAAAGGACGGGCGGGGGCGGGGGCGGGGCGGAGACTGACTGGGGAGGGGAGCGTTTGTTCCTTGGGATTGGGGTTTGAATGTTGACCGTTGAACGTTTGAATTGTACACTTGCTTTTGTTTTGAGATGGAGAATGGTATTTGGCTCCGTGCTGTGCAGGTGCAGCTAGCCTCGTTTGTGTTCTAGTTTTTGTTTTGGAAGACGGCATTTGAAATGCTTCATCGTCCACATGTAAACTGAACAGGCGAATCGGCATCTTGGCTGGTTAGTGGTCGGTTTTCTAAAACCCGTGGCTTGGATTGAGAAGACCAGATGGTGAACAAACTATCTGAATTAAATGCTTTTAGTATAATTTATAAAGGAATTTCAATTGAAGTTCCTAGGGGGTAACTTTAGTGTTTCGGTGGGTTGTGGGATTTAATTTAAAATTTTGACGGAATGAAAACACTTAAACATCTCCTCGCCTATAAACATCGTTCTCCGGGGCGGATTTTACAAGCATGGAGTAATGTCAACCTAGGGCCAAACATTGTCCTTTTTTTGTGTCAACAATATTTATTAGGCATGTCCGGATAAATAAATTATTGTACTCCCTCCGTCACGGTTTAGAAGACACCGTTAAATTTGCGTGTGTTTTCACAATAGACAAGATTTAGGGCGCATTACATTTATTTCTAGTAGCTAATTAGTACTCCGGTATACTATTTCTATATGCATGCGTAGTGTGAATACTATTTTTTAGCCCATCTCACAACCAATAGATAACCATCTAGGTCCTAGAGAATTTCCAAGCGCGCCTTCTAAACCGTGACGGAGGGAGTATTTGCTTTGAGATAAAGAAACCGTAATAATAGGTGTACCAAGCTAGGGCTATGATGGAAAAATGCATCCAAATCGTAGCCCAACTGTCAAGTTTTTACCAGACCCATCAAGCGGGTTGCCCCTCGCCTAGTTGTGGCTTAGATCGAACGGTTGGGCTTGTCAGGTTTACGTGGAATGCATGCCCAGTTTTTTAGATGGAAGGATCGAAATGTACTATGATAAAACACTCAACCGACTAAAAGAACATTGCTAAACAACATGAAACAAGAAATAAAAAAGGGAAATAATGAGGATACCAGCTAGACATGCAAGCCCACGGTAATAAATAAAGTTGTAAATAGATATCGTGAATGAGCAAAACATAGTCAAGCTTCAAACAGAAGGCAAAACTCTTTGGTTGAAGAGGGGGTTGTTCCTAAAAGAACCAACATCGGCGAGCAATTAAGCTAGAGGCTTCAAACGCAAAACTACTTCGAGTTCTATTAGGAACACATCAAAACCTCACTTACCCTACACTATCGTCACCACTACCTATTCATACAAACCTTGTGATAGTCTAGCAGATGATGGATTCAGGATGACGGCCCCAGGGAAGGAATCAACGCCCAAAGGGATCGATGGTGCTAGTAACAAACATGTGTTACAAATCTTTTTCCTTTAAAATACTAATAGCCCCTGCGGCATGGAGAGCAGCATTTTGGATCCTGGAATTTTGAAACACCTGAAAATTCTATCGATAAGTTTCATGAAAAAATAATTTGTTGGTATGGATACTTATATTCTCTACATGTGTGTAAAGTTTCATTACATAATACGATGGTTTCTTTTTGCATGGGTAAATACGATGATTTGCGGTGTATGTGAAAAAAAAAATCTTGGCCTAAAAACAACAAAAGGAAGGCCCACATTTATACAAGCATTTCTCTTTTTTGTGCACACCACGTACTAAAATATATATTGCTGGAAATTCATACAACACACCTATGTGTATACATATACTTATTTCCAGTTTTTTTTTTGGAATTGCATAAAATAAAGTTTCCGGTTAAAAAAATTGAAGGACTCCAAGGAGCCTGGGACCTAGACCTAAGACACATTTTCCGTGGCATGTCTATTCCTATGATCCCATTACAAAGAAATTATAATATATCCGTGTACCTCATTTGGTGTTCTTTGGAGAAGTCCAATATGCACTTTCTCGACCCTTTTGTCCCTCTCTCTCTCTCTCTCTC